GGATTTAGTGTTTGCATATTTAAAGTTGCATATCGTTTCTGTTCTTTTCTATAATTGATACCGGCAGCGAGAACTTGTCGAGCTGAATTTAGCGATAATCGATATTTTACTGCAAGCATGTCTAATTCTTATTTCTGAAAAATAAAACAGTACACTTTTCAATGTATACGTGTACATAAAACTGATAAGAAAAACAAACAAACAACTATATACGTACAAAAAAATGGGTGTGTACTTCTTTCGCATGTTAGTTAATATAAGGATATTCCACTCTTTCCAACCAATGATTTCGTGTATATAGAGGTCGTAACTTCTCATAGATTCTACTGGATATTTACTGTTTCCATAGTACCAGTCTCGCTGATGGGAAACAGTGGCATTTGACCTACATATTTTCAAAAGTCAATTCTTTTCTTCTGTTCGAATATGTCCAAAGTAACGATACGAACTAAACCACCGCGAGATGTTTACCATCGACAATCACCGTACAAGACAAATCGAAAGCGAGCATCATCCGGAAGTTTGTATTCTTATGATGATAGTGATATAGCATATCGAAGTGCTCCGGAGCACTTGAAACGATTATTGGACACGTCCAATGGGTCCTCAGCAAGAAAATTAACACGAACAAATAGTGCAAGTGAAATGTTGACACAGAATGCGCGTAAGAAGAAGAATATTTCATAGTCGAATGAACCTTTTCTTTACGTAGTTAACCGACCGACGAATATAGGAAATCCGAAATACAAAGCACAGGAAGACTATTATGATGAAATTCAATTACTGAAGAAGGTTCCATTAAAATATGTACCTTGTTTACCTGTAAAGAGATATCTGTTCACTTTTAGGAATTAAGATACGCGAAAGAGGATAAAAATAATTTACGAGCTAAAATCCGACGTTTAGAAGAAGATAATTCACGAAAATGCAAAGAAATGGATAATCTTTGTGATCCAAACAAAGTACGATTACCTTTCTGTCTTGGAAACGAATATAAATTGCATATGTTTTATCTTAGAATGGAGATCTACGTCGGACTTTAGTTAATTCCTCGACTCCCACTGTGGTAATTTTCTTTCGATCAGTAAGACTTCTATGTTGTTCGCTTGTACTCTATTTTAGAATGTTGTAATGAACTTAAAGCAACGTGTATTTAAATTAGAAGCACAACTAAAACAGCGGGAAACAATCGTTGAGTATGTGACGATGAGATTGATGAACTTTGAGGAGCTTTTTTTTAAATTTCGTCTAGTGAAATGAGAAATGATCTGCGATGGACACGCGGTACAGAATTGGAGATTCAAAATCGTGCTTTATTCAACGAACTCGAGAAGTTCAAATTAGAGCGATTGACATTCACCCAAGAGTAAGCAGAAAATAAACATTGTCTTGTCTAGAAATCAGTTCGGTTCTATCTTTAGTAATTACATGGCAACATTGAATGAAGAGACAAAGAATGCTATACGAAAACTCGAAACTGATAAAAGAGAACTGAAGATAGAAAATGAATATTTGAAGAAACGAGTGGATGAATTAGAGCAACTTGGTAAGATATCGAGAAGGAACACGAAATAGTAATATTCTTTTGAATTTACAGATAATAGTGAACACTTCTCGCCAAGAAAACGTGTAAGTACACGTGAACTTTATTTGATACGATGTGACTTTGTATATATTAGCTAGACATAAGGTTTCTAATCAATACTTGACGAGTATTACATGTAACTATTTCAATAGCTAAGCTTCATGCTTATTTTTCATAATAATTTCCTTGTGCGAGTAACATTCGATTGAATACATGTGCTGCTGGATATGAGTTTGAATTCAATTTTGACTTTCTTTTTACGATTAGAACGGAAATAAGCATAGAAAGATCGAAGATTTGAAAGATTTATGTGAACATTATGAAAATGAACTTGAACAATTGAAAGATGATTTGAAACGTATGCGACGTGAACGTGATAGATATCGCGACAAAATTGACAGTAACAATGAAGATCTTGAAGAAATGAAACGCGAACGAAATCAGTATTATCGACAAACAAGTTTTTCACCCAATTCTGGTACACGCCGACAAAATTCAAGTTCATCGGAAGATCGAAGTAGACACGATCTGCAGTAAGTGACAAAAGATTAGATTCACTTCTATCAAAGGCGTCTGTACTAATTTAGTAGATCAAATGAAAAGCTGGGTTCACGTTCGTCGTTAAATAAATGGAATCATAAGAAATCATCTGCATCGTTAGTATCATTTCGTCATTCGCGTCGGTATGAATGGACTATGTAAGATGAGATTAGAAAAGATTTATTTCGCCATATGAAAGTGTTTGTTAGTGACGATGAAAATCGTGTACAAAATTTTCGAGAAAATCGAGCAGCGAAAGTCATTCAACAAGGTTGGCACAAATATAGACGATCACGAAAACATTCGCTGATGAATCAATCGAAAGAGGATATTTTCAATCGAGTAAATTCCTTTGCCATCTTTCGTATTTAATCGTGTTTTTTTTTCTCTTCCATTCTGTATAGCGCAATTCCAAGATCAACGGAATGGTAAGTCACATCTTCCTTGAGAACGAAACATCCTTACATTTCGTCAAGTGAAATCCTATATTCTCTGATTGATCAATACATTCTGTCATAGATTCAGAAGTACTTCAATCTCGAGTAAATAATTGCATGTGTTTGCGATTGAAATGATATGAATAACACTGCATATGTTTTTCTCATGATATTCACCCAGGAGATGGATTTGACTTGAAAAATGCCAGATTTTTTTGTATTAAACTAGAATGATGAACTAATTCGTACAAATATGCATGATACAATGAATGTCTAGTTTGCACTGAAGTTTTACTTTTTATCATTGTTACTATCTATCATAATGAAATTCTTTGCGAATAGAGATCATCGGTTATACATTCGCCACGCACTAGTCAACAAAGATTGGGTTCAAAAATTGATAACTTTGGCAGTAGTATTAGCCGCAATCGATCCTCTCCGATCAATCTCGCAAGTGACGTGAGGAATTTTTTGTAAAAAACTATGCATTCTTATAAGCGAAGCTTTAGACGGCGTTGAAAATTGTTCAAGCATCATTACGTGGATATATAGATCGAGTTGAAATCGATCGATCTTCTCACAAAAAATCACCGCATCGTACTGAAAATGACGACGATGATATCTTTGCAACATCATCTTATGACAGGTTTGTTACACATAAGTTTTGTCTCATTGAATAAGATTGTCTTGCAATAGTAGAAAACGTGAAAGCTTTCACAATAATTCAAGAAGTAATTTCGAAGATTTTCATGGTAAACAGCTACTTGCTCTTGTTGAATATTTTACAATGAAACGTTCTGTATAGATAAATCCAGTTCTATCAATCGACGCTCATCATCCGATGCAGTAAAGCATAGTGATAACTCATACAAAAAACATATCTTTTTCAATCATTTAGCATCGTTCTTCAGTAATTCGAGCTGATAATAACAATGGATCCAAACAATTTCTAACGAATAGTCAATGTTAGTCTTGTCATCTTATCTACGAGATTTCTATTTACATGATTTAGATAAATACGATTCGGCAAGTCGATTTTCACCCAATGATGAACATAGTTCAGTCAATAGAGTGAGTTTTTCATATCGTCGGATTCATTGTTTGATGAATGTATTTATTAGCATCATTTATCATCACCACACGGTCGTCAGATCAATGGCTCCAAGCAATCATTAATTGATGGTAGAGGTGAGATCTCTTTGTAAGATGAGTCAGATCTAAAGATTTTACGCGAAATCAAATATGTTCGAACGCGAATTACGCACAAATATTTTTTCTCGTGGTTTTCATTTAACTAAACACGCAAGACTGTTTTTTGCATGTTGAGAGATTATTTCGTGATGAACGTCACGCAATTTCTGTATATGTAACTATTTAGATAAACTCAATTCGAGCACTCATATTGACCGTGATTCGTCTCTCAAAATGGTAAGAATCATTTGATGTTACATATTCCGTCAATATTAGTAAGAATTCTTACTAGCAGCGATCACTTTCGCCTTCAAATGACCGCCGATTGTCCCATGACCACACACGACCAATGTCCCGTCAAAGCAATTCGTCAATGCACAAAAGTCCCAGAAGCTCGAAAAAGTCTTTGATAAATGTTCATCACAAGCATGACGATGATGACGACGTACTAGACTTTTAATCTGTTAGCTTATGTAGATACAATTATGAAAAGCATAATAATGTTGAAAATGTATCTGTGATATCGAAATAAATATATGTATGATTGTGACTATAATGAAAATTATCGTAATGTTTGAGACTCATTGTTGAAATTTTTCTTTTAAAATACAAACGATTTGGCTAAGAGACAAAGATGGACCTTCAATTATTTAGATATGATCACTTTTGTCAATTTTCGCGTGTTTGTGTTCAGTACAAGAATCGATCTAGAAGAAATAAGTCAGGATCGTTCAGTGTGGACTAGCAATCATACTAATCTAATCTAGACGATGTACGAAAGCTGCTTATAATAACAGCTTCAAAGGGATTCTCACATTAAATATTACTCAACAGTATGCTAGTGTGCGTTTTGTGGCTCGAAGATCAATAGTCTATTATTCCTAAAGTTTCGTGTGCAAGTGTTAATCGTTCTGGAATGTATTATTTATATGAATATCATTAACTTGAACATGTGAGTACTTTGGCCAAAACATTCAAGATAACTTTTACCATCAGGTTCAGCAGCACTTTCATCACTAGTTTCACCAGGATGTCCGTTACTAAGTCCATCAACAACTAGTTACCTACCATCTGCTAACAAAGTTGCTTTGTGAAATATTCTTGCAACATTCATCGAGTCAACAATCGTCCAATTTTCAATTACTGGATCATATAATTCAGCTTTAGCTGCAACAAGAAACCCAAAATCTTGTTGTGATCCGCCAGTAACTAATACATTTCCATTTAGTAGTAACGTTGCTATGTGAAACAGTTGCCCGACATTCATCTTGCCAGACATTATCCAATCTAAACAAGAAATTGAAGTGCACAAGTGGTATTCCATGAAAAGTTCTTCAAGTTTAGTTCCTATATAAATGATTGGTACTAATCACATTGGATGTTCAAGGTACACGCGAAATGCAAATTTCCGTGAATGATTATCCTTTAGGCTCAAAAGAATATTAAATATTCTTCGGCGCAATTACCATGATCGACTTTTGTTGTTAGTGTGAAGAGATACTTCAAAGAATTAAATTTTTTCCAAACATTCTTTTCTATTGCTAGAAGATTTTCTACATGTTCGATAATGCTACAAACTAGTTAAATAGTCAATATCATCAATTTATATATCGATAACTAATTTTACTTTGAAATATATTTTAAAACTATTAGTTGCAAGATAATGACAGTAGTCAATCATTGGTGGTTTTCAATAATTGTCATTAATATATCTGTCTAGCGGCAGAGTCTCTCCTAACGTTTACGATCGATATTATTCGATGCATATGGAAAATGTACGAAATTCCAAATAGAAGCTAAATGGGAAGATCTAATTTTAAAAGCACAAATAGTTTTTCACGCTAAAAATCCATAACTAGTTCTAATTTCCTTGGACTTCAAATTCGCTTGTCATGACAAAATATTATAATTTGCGGTACTTCTTCAGTTCATATATCATTTGATAAAAACTATGTAACTGAGAAAAAAAAATGTAAAAAGCTATTTACTTTTACAGATATGCAACGATAGATCACATGTCATGTTCATACAATCTGTGCTTGATATATATTTCTGGTTGCGATCGCATCCTGCTGGACAAGTAGGACCACCACAATCCACATCAGATTCATCGACGTTCCAGTGTTTATCTGAGCAATATGATGCTGTAGAGGAAAGGACAAGAGATGTACATTTTGATCAAAAACATTTACATATACCCCCTCAGTCAGACATCTTGATTTCAAAAGTTCACAATGTATGTAATACTCACAATGGTAGTATGCTTGGTAAAACTAACAGATGAACTGATGCCAGAACTAGAGAATGATTAACTTGATAAGCTACATAAGATAATGTCCAATTGCTAATATATGTTTCATTGAGATTCATCACAGAGATGACGTTGCAATCTTCAAAGGTAATTTCGTTATCTAGTAACCATTTACAAGTATATTTCGATGAACAACCATCCGAAACATGATAGGTTTGATTTATTGAATCAATTGAAAATGAAGTTTCACCCGAAATTACTCTTTTGACATTGATTAAAATAACTCTTGAAATATATTATTTGCAGATGTGTTTTTTTCTGTTATTCTTACATCTTGATGTTCACAGTGAAAGAAGAGCTTGTGTGGTTTGAAGTCAGCATTCGATTTCAATTTCAAATAAGCGAAACCGTATCCACGATGTGTGATATCCAGGAGGTTCCCGAAGTCATGTGAACTTCACGTGCATCGTATGGGTTTGCCAAAATTATCTAAAATATTATTTCCAGCACTATCACAAAGAATAAGTTCTACACTGATGATATTTTTTATTTCGATCAGCTCTCCAATTAATAACCGACCATCATAATAATCGCTAAGTTGAGGACCCAATCGGAATTCATAGCTATCGTCTCTGATGGTACCATCAAGTATCATGTCAAGCGAATCAGAGCGTAAGAATGTATCACCATTGTACAAATCATCTTAATTTTCTTCCCAAGTTCCTGAATAGACAAAAACAAAATGACTGAAAACAGAAATGATTCTATTAACGTAACTAACGTCTCGCCCTTTCATCCATGAATTCTAGACTTAGATCCGGATTGACGTTATCGGCGTAACCACCATTGTATTCATTACCGTACAACACGATAATCTATAACATTCAACTTGACGACATGCATAACACGATGTCAGTATACTTACCATATAGATTGATATGAGTACGATTGAAATTCGATATTTCATATTAATCTATTGATTGGAAGCGACAGTTAGTTTAAGAGAAGATATTCTTTAGAACAAAAAGAAACAATTGCTGATCATCCGAACTTTATTTATTGAAAAAATTCTGATCTTAATTGTATGAAATGCATCGCCTTTTATACTGTGATTTTCTGAATGTTATTTTTGTTTTTAATTAAGAAATCATTTCGAACGATCGCAAATCTAACCAGCCCATTCTCGGTATCTAGTTCAAAAACGAACCACATTTTTTTGTTTGTTGTTCATCTACTTCGATTTTTCTTGTGCAATGAATGTGTTCTGAGTCCAGTTAACCCAAATACTCGATTCTTTTGTTTAATGTAATCACCCGCGTACTATTCTTTATAGAATAGATGTATCGTTCGTTTCGGCGGAGAAAGTAAAGCACACCGCTGACAATTTTTCTTTTTCTTACAATATCAAATGATTATATTCATTGACATTTTATTTTATGAAATCAACGGTTTACAATATGAACAACAATGAAGATACGCGTAGTCTCTCCACTCCGTGTAAGCGCACGTCTTTTTTTTTAAACAAATCAATACAGAAAATAGATAGCCGAATGATGATGAATTCAGAATTTATAACGCCAATCTGATGCGTAAGGGTACGATGAGTAATAATCTAAATAGAATGGTATTTGATATTTATCTTTTTTTTCGAAGAGTTGCATCTACCTGCTGGTGGAACTGGTATAGAAAAGTTGGCAGATGGATAAGATGCTGATGGACAGAAGATTTCATTGGAATCTAGAAAGAAACGTTTACTACATTCGAAATGAACTCCTGTTTTCATTTACGTGTTGTCGACGTCGCATCGAAATCATTTTTAATTGAGATAAATTCATTCGTATTGTAATTTGTATAGTTATTCGAAGGACAAATCGTATTCCATTTCGCACGGCGTTGATCTAAATATGTCTAGAAGAGACAAAAATTCGTTTCATCATTCGATTGGTTGATGAATTTTGCCATACTTTGACGACTGATTCGGCGAGACCAGTTTGTTTAACGATCGACTCCATTTGTGCATGATCAGCCCATGGATTGTCTTTGAAGAACTTATCCAGGAACTTGATTTGTTCATTCGGAAAATATTTCTCGTCTAATGGTTCTAAAACAAAACCAGTGTCATTATTCAATTCATTTGAGAATTCAACTAAACTTTTGACAGTAAGACTAATGGTCTGTCTGAATAGAAGAAGAAAAAAAAACTCTCATACCATTAGAATGATTTGTACGAGATAATGAGCGTGGCTTTATTGTTGAATATTCATATTGAGAATGATTAAGTAAACTATGAATACTATAAACATTTGGTGGCGAAGACACATTCGTTTGTTGATGGTGAGTGCGACTATCATCTTCGGCGGTCGTCGCTGTCGGTGATGAAGCATCAGTTGATCCATTTCGATTGCGAACGATTCTGAAACGAAGATGAACTTGTTTTTTTTGCATTTCCATATTAATTTCTCCTAATGAACTTTGACACGTAGATCATGTTACTTCTTTTAAGATTTAATTGAGTAGAAAATTTAGTTTTGATTTAACACAAATAGAACAGATTGTCTTGTGGGATTGGGAGATAGAACAACATACGATCAGAAACAATCAATCGGAGCGTTTTTAATTGGACGAGACAAAATTTCTCTCAGATTGTCACCTGTCTTTTCAATATCTAGGAAGAAAATTCTCTGTTTTTTCTTTGCAATTAAACATCGTTGCGATTCATTAGTTGCTTGACAATCGAAAATGAAATTTTGTTTTGATGGAAGATTTATGAAGTACAATCAAATATGAATCGATATTTGACAACAAAACGTTTCTTACCTATTTATTGAGCTAACACTTGGAACTTTATCAGCTTCACATATGCCATCAGCAATGAGACGTTCGCGAATTTCCCATGCGAACATTGTTGGAGCTTGATTCTTGTAATTATTGATCGCATCGACAACTTTAGGTGTGGCAACCTTTGGTTTACTTCCACCGATAATGCCTGGACGTATCGACCCTGTTTCATGATATCTAAACAGAAACAAATCGCTCTAAACTTTAGAAACAAGATTCTTTTTTCTCTCTGTCTTTACCTGCCCAAAATCTTACTCACACATCCATGCGACACTCGTAACTGACGACTGATGTCACATGGCCTTACGCCCTGTTTAGCTAATTCGACAATCGATTGCCGAATGTTATCTGGTAAAGGTCGTCCATTGACGAAAACTCCTCCGAGTTGATTGATTCCTCCATGTCCTATATATGCAAAGCAAATCGAATAAATGATGACTCTTAGTAATCATCGATGCACAAAGAGGGAAATATTGATAGAAATACCTACCGAACTTCGAATATCGGTATTGAGCTGCAACGAGCTGGTTGAACGGAAACATGGTTTTTACACAGTAACAAGCCTCTTGTGCACAACTGAGAGACAGTCTTGCAAATTCAATGAAGAGAGGAGAGACTGCACTAGAGCGTTACTACTCGGAATGTATGATGATCGATTGAGTAGTTGTCAAATGTATATAGTGTCGAATGGAGAGAGAAAAAGAAGAAGCCAATGATTCGTTGCGAGTCTCTTTTCTTCCTGCTGTTTGAAGGAAAAATGACAGAGAGAGAGAAACGACTTGATTAAAAGCGACGACAATGATCATTGTAGCGAATCGATGTGCACCAGTGATGCTTGAGAAAAAAAAAGCGTAGGCTCATTTTCTCTTCTTGTCTTTTTTTTCGTCTCTAAGGAATTGAATATAGACTTCGTTTGTTGTTATTCATTTAATAGATTAACTAACGACTTCTGTCGATTACTTTGAAATCAAAGAATGAGCAGGCGTTCGATTTTGTCTTTTGTTTTTCATGTTGCACTGACCAATGAGAATTTGCTTGTTCTCTTCTTAGCCAATCCTATTGCAATTAAGCTCATCGTTTCCAACTTTACTCGTTAATCATCCAGCATCATTTAATATGAATGGAAAACGAAGATGTATATATATTGTCGACAATTGCACATCGTGTCTCAAGAGACCAACTTGTTGCGAGACATTTTAACACTTGTCAAGAAAAAGTAAATGAAAAAGTAAATCATTCGAGTTCATTTTCTCTCGACTTGCTGTTTTCGGTACATTTCCATTACATCCACATCTATACATTTATAATTTATAGAAAATTTCTTCCCTCCGCTCGACTAGTAATTCCAATAAAAGTTCGCTGATATGCTCCTATGATTTCTTTTGTCTGCTGTACATCTGTGCAGTCATTTTTTTTTCTAATGGAATTAAAAATGTTAAACAATATGTGCGAAATCATTATTTCAAACATGAAAGATGCGATATCAAATCACAGGAGACTGTCTTCATTTTTGTTTTAAAGAGTACACCTTGTTTATTTTGAAAAAAAAAGTGGCAAATTCAAGCTAAATGAAATGGAAATAGAAATAGCTAAATATGATCATAAATGAATCAAATTTGAAAGAGAAAGGGTCAAGACATGATGGTAGAAGAATGTTTGAATAACATAAATATGAATAGAGAGAAAAAAAAACATTGACAACAGATTTTCGAAGGAGCCAAAAATGACGGAGAAAAAAAAATATATTCGGCACATTCACAAGGCCATGTAAAGAAAAAGAAAAGATAATCGAGAGAGGGAGAGATTAGTCAGAGAGATATTTGATTGAAAAAATAGTTTCTATTCTAAAAAGAGAAGAAAAAAAAACGTCACTGTGAATATATGATGGTACTGTTCTTGGCTTGTTTCACAACGCTTGATCACATTGTAAGAGAGAGAATGAGTTTAAAAACGTGGTCGTGAGGAGCGCGGGCGAACGCTTGGTGATGAGGTACCGAGTTGAGGTGTTGCCGTCGTTGAGGCTGCGACGGCAGCTGCAGCTCGCATTGAACGTAAGGCGATTGATGGTGAAATCGTGCGGCGATTTGGTGAACGAAGACGTACGGGTTGTTCATTGATTTCGCCTAAGCGTTTGACTTCGTGATCTAGAAGAAGAGGATCAAGACCGAGTGGATCTCGAGAAACATATGTCAACGGATCGGTGATTTCTCGACGAAGAGCAGTTAGATCGTCACTAGTGCGGTTGAGATGAGATTGACGTTGACGAATTTCCGAGTGGAGTTGTTCTCGAAGTGTTTGAACCTAGGAAGTCGACTTGTGAGGAAATTTTAGACTAAAAGATAGTTCCTACTTGTTCTTCGAGACTTTTGACGCGAGAACGATGTGATTTTTCTCGAGTTTCTAAAGCACGTTCAGCGGCTGATTGAGATGTTCGAAGACGTTCAGTTTCAGCTTCAGTTTCACGTCGGTTACGCGTTGTAAAATCGATCATACTATAGAAGAATCAAACTGATTTGTAATTTCGGTTATTATTCGAGGAAAATTTTACCGCTGAGCATGTTGATGTTCGGATTTGTTAAGAACGTTTTGTAATTGTTCGATTTGTCGTTGTAAAGCTTGGTTTTCGTCTTCAACTCGACGGAATTGTCGATCGATTTCTGTTCGGTCCCATGAACGAATAATATCTTCAGTAATGACACGATCACGTTCGACCTAGAAAGGATTAACTCGTCAGAAAACGCTCCCTTGTCCATCCATATACAAACTTTATCTAGTGTTCGTTTCAAGACATTTTTATCCTTTTCTAAACGTAATTTCGATAATTCAGCATCACGTTTTTCAATATCGAGATTGCCTAATTGACGTTGTAAAAGAGACAATTTTTCCTGTAAAGTTTGTTTATCAGCAGTTAAGAGAGAGATCTTCTGAATTGCTTCTTGTTCGCTTTCTTGACGTTGAACGAGGAACTGAAATATTTCAATGAAGTCAGCATTTCATTCGTCCTTATTGGTTTCACTTACGGTATTTGCATTACGTAGTTGATTTTCTAATTCATGTCGTCGCATTTCGGAATCAGCAAGTTCGTTTTGAACATGACCAACACGTTCGAGTAATTCATGATTTTGTTTCTTAAGTTCGCTGATTTGTGTTCTAAATGACAAGAATGTCTCCGATTGATTTTGCTAATCAGTGTCGATTACCGTGATTGTTCGAGTTTTTCTTGTGAAATACGACGTTCAGCTTCACTACTTTGTAAAGCATTTTGAATACCGCCGAGTTTTTGTTGCAAATCAGCTGCTTGATAAGTTGATTGAGAAATCGTTTGGTTCAATGATTGTACACGAGTCTTCAGACTTGATTCACCTTCTTCGGCTTTAGCCAATGTTAATGAAAGACGATCGACACTTAATTGTAAAGATTGGCATTTTTCATCCCGATCCTATGAAAATCAATGGAAATGATTTCTGAACAAACAGAAAGACATTGCTCTCACTTGAATTTGTCGAATTAATGATTCACATCGTTCTTGATAGACTTGAATTTCGGTATCTTTGTCAGTTAAGATCATGCTTAAACGTTGAATGTCACCTTCCAATGCTCGTTTGCTCATTTCGAGTTCAGTAGCACGATTTTCACTGTCGTCCAAGGCGCGTTTCAATTCTCGTTTTTCTTCATTCGAACGTGTTTCACCTGTTTTGGATAAATCTAATTTTTCCTATTCGAAACAAAAGATGCAGATCAAGTGATTTCATCTGAAGTACGCAATTGAAACATACGAGAAATTGTTTCTTCTCGTTATCTAACGCGGCAATTTGTCGTTCGAGTCCGCTTATTTGATCCAACATTGTTTTACGTTCACGTTCACTCTTGCGAATGGTTTCTTCTTGTAATAATAAAGTGCTTTGAGCACTTTGTAAACGAGTGTCGACGCCTTTCTTGTCTGAAAAGAAAAACAATGAACGAATGGTTGAAATGAGAGAAAATTCATTTCGTAACGCACCTTCTTCCGACGATGAGAGTGTCTTTTGTAATTGATTGAATCGTTGTTCAGTTCGAAGAAGATTTTCTTCGAGTTCTTTCGTGGTTCGTCGAAGTTGTGTAACTTCCGCTACAGAATAAACTTCGATTTAATCTTGTTCTATCGAGTCAACTCTCTTACCAATACAATCATCTCGTTCACGTTCGGTTTGCAGAGAGTTTTGAACATAGTCTCTTAATGAATCACGAATTTGTTCTGGATCGACTTCAGCAACATCAACGTAGGTTGAATTAGCCGAACGATCATCGTCATAAGCTGGCGAGTGTGATCGTTGTGGGCTTCGTGATGAGTGACGTAGGATTGGCGAAGCGCGATTTTCGTTCGTATCCATACCTTTGGTTGGTGAGATCGGTCGACGACGAGAATTTCGTGGACTTGGTGAACGACTACGAAGTCGTGAACGACTGCTACTACGCGGTCCATAGCCAATTGAACGACGTAGACTAGATACAATGCTACCTAGTTTGTATTCAGCATCACGTTTAGCTCCTTCGACTCTAGAAAAAACGAAATCGTTTGTATATGTAGAAAAATATCGGTATATTTACCGTGCTAATTGCGTGTCAAGTGCACTTGTTCGTCCCTCTGCACCCGATAATGCGATACGTAACTCTGAAACCATTTGATTGGCTCCTTCAAGTGCTAATTCAACATTTCGTCGTTCATCGATTGCTTTACGTTCTACAAGGAAACAAACAAACCGCAATTCAGCTTTAATTGAGAATTGAACAAAACCTACCGAGACGTCGTGCATCTTCAATAGCTAATTTATGGTCGCGTTCTTTCAATCGTTGTTCTTCTTCTAATTCAGCATAGTGTCGTTGAAGACTGGCTAATTCTTTGCGTAGAACGTCTCGCGATGCTTCCGATTCGACAAAGCGTTGTTTTTGTCCGAACACTTCTCGGCGCATTTCCTCTTCCCGATGTTCATCTTGTCGAACTCGGTCACCTAATTCTTCTAATTCTTTGGATTTCTTCTTTGTTTCACCGTCGAGTAGTTTCACGTGACGACGTAATTCTTGTAATTCTCGTCGTGCTTCCAATCGCGAACGTTCGACATCACGTAAATTGTAACGCAATTCGTTAGAATCCTTTTGTCCTTGAGTTTTTTGCTCTTCGAGAACTAGACACAACAAAAGGTATTCGATATTATGTTATCTACTGAAATGCTTACTAATAAGTCGTTGTTTAGCTTCTTCCAAGATTTGTTTCAAATCGATCTTTTCATTTTCGACGTTCTTCAGTTTACTACGTAGATCTTCGCTGGAATGTAATGATAGTTCTTTATCGCGCTGTTCGTCTTGTAAATATCGTTTCAAGTCCTGGATTTCTTTTCGTTGCAAAGCAATATTTTCTTCGAATTCTCGAATGCGTCGGTTCGCATCGATCAAATCGCGCTTCAATTGATCGCGATTGTCTTCGGTGACTTTCAATTGTGTCTTCAATTCAAAGTTTTCATGATTCTGCGACTGAATCTTTTGTCGTAGTTGATCAAGATCGTCATTCAAGGTTTTCACATCACGTTCATTGACTGTAATTACATCTTCGAATTTGTTTTGGAATTTCTTCAATTCATCTTGCAAAGCTAAAATGACTTGCCGTTCTTGTTCACGATGTAATGCTGCATCACGACGAGTTTTGTCGTATTCAACTTGTAAACGTAACAAGTCATCTTTTGTCAACGATAATTTTTCAGCCAGAGCATTACGTTCCGATTGAGCCATCGAAAGAAGCTAAAATACAAAATCAAATACAATCGAAATGACGCAAGTTCGCTTCGAAAGAGATGAATTTACAAAGTCAATTGAAATAGACATATTCCGCGCCCGAGTTTGAATTTCTCACATGAAAACGTCAATATGTGTTCTGTTACGTTAAAATCTTATATATGGCAGGAAAAAAGAGAACTGCCATGTCTTTCAAATCAAAGCTAGGTTCTCTCGGAAGAAAAGGAAGAGAATTTTATTTACTTTTTGTTTTTCATTTTCTGCTTCAATCAAAGCATGATCGCGTTCAGACATAATGTTTGCTAGCTCGCGATGTAAATCATCGCGTTCTTGACCGAAACGTTGGCTGGAATCATCTTTATCTTTGGTGTGTTGTCGAATGATTTCTTCACGTGATGTTTCTAATTCTTGACGAATCTTTTCTCTTTCCCGTGTCATACGATCAACATCATCGTCATGAGCTTGTTTGTGCTGACGAAGAGATGTGTCGTGATCTTGTTCTAATTTGGTCAAACGTTCTTGCAATTGATCACGTGTGCGCGCTGATTTCTCAATTTCAACATTCAATTCAGCATGAAGACGTTGAATTTCATTTTGAAGTTGTTCTTTACGCAATAATAATTCTTGATTTTCACCTTCTAATTGTTCGCGTTTAACATCGAGTTGACCGGCGAGGGCTTGAGCTTCGTAGAGAGCTGATTCTAGAGCTTCTTTGCTACAGAAAAAAAGGCAACAGTAACAAGATTGATGTTGGAAACGAAGAGAAAAACTGAAACATACTCTGAACGTAATGCACTGATGGTCTAAAATATACGAGAAACAAAGCAGATAAGAATGAGAGAGAAAGAGAAATGACATTTTGTGCATACCGAATTCAAAGTTTGATTGTCGCGTTCAGAGCCAGTTAAATCTATGACAAGATTACCACGTTCTTTAGTTAGGTCTTCTTTTTCTTTGTTCAAACGAATATTGTGATCACTTAACCGTTCGATATCTTTTCGGGCAGCAATCAAATCTTCTGCCAATGTGTTTTTCAATCGAGTCATCTAATAAGAAAGAAAAGATACAAATGTTTGCAATCTTTTCAAAATAGATCGATCAAGTTTTACTTGTTGAAATTGTTCGACAACATCAGCTCGTTCTTTATTGGCTGCGCTGAGTTCTTCTTCGATTTGTTGACGACTAACTTCAGTTAGTTGGAGACGGTGAAGAAGCGCTAGAAGAAACAGATATTAACAAATTGGTCTCTCACACATGCATTGGAAAATTCATTTCGATGGAGAACAACCCATTTGAATTACTTACTATCTCGTTCATTCTCAACATCGATCTTTTCTTGTTCGACTTTGACTAATTCCTAAACATAACAGTTTCTAACGATTGATATATGTCAAGAATTTCAATTACTTGTCGAAGTGTTGATTTGTCTTGTTCAGCATCAGATTTTTCATTAAGAATAGCATTCTTTTCTTGTTCGATCTAGCAAATAGGAGACAAAAATGACAATAATTCTCCAATTGATATTTTACATACCAAGAGAATAATTTTATTCAGTTCGATCTTATCTTGAGCAAGACCTTCGTTGAGTGCTTGAACTTTACAGAGAAGATCTCGTAGAGCTGCACCTTCACTGCGTTCTTTGCTTAGGTCAAGTTCGACTTCTGCACGATAGAGTTCCGATCGTGACAATGCATCAGCTAAATGAACAAAACTTTGCATGCCGATCAGTCTGACAACACTTCGACTTACATAGAACAAGTTTTTCTTGTGATAAGACATCCTTCGCTAGTTTTTCTGCTTGGTAATGTTCGCGTAAATCGGAGACATCTTTCTTCAATTTTGAAAGTTGACTTTCAAGATTTTCGATCACTTTGATACAACGTTCGTTTTCTTTGACTTGACGAATACGATCTTTTTGCAGATCTTCTTTTTCTTCTTCGAGTATGTCGCGTTGACGTTGCAGTTCCGTATTTGCTTGATGTAAGCGTTCACAATCCGAACGCAAAGTTTCAATTTGAGAGTTCAATGTCTAAATCCAAACAGATACCGATACTCTATGAAGGCGGAAGTATACAAAGCTTACAATGCGAATCTTCTCCATATTCGATCGTTCGTGATTTGATGTTTCAAGAGCTGTTTTCGAACGATCACGATCTTGAGCAGTCGAATCAAATTGCCGACGTAAATCTTCGATTTGTGCTTTGTAACTCGCAGATTGTTGTTCGAAGAGACGTCGTTCAGTTTCGCTTTGATTCAATTGATCTTTCAACAATTGAACTGCATCACGTGTGCTTGATAATTTCGTTTGTAAATCATGCACCTTTAAATACACAACATCAGACCAGTTTCGAAATGCAAACTGCTAAATAAAAGTGTCCTACCTGAACTTGACGTTTACTTAACGCAGCATGAACAGCACTGAAGGTACTATCAGCAAATGATGGTGAAAGACTTCGAGAATGTACCAATGCTGTTTGAGTTAACCGTTGAGGTGAATGAGATCGAGGTGAACGAAGACTGAAACGAAAAGAATATCCAAATTAGATCGAGTGGAACTTTTCAAGTCCATCATATGTAACCTTGACTTATCTTTCACTCTTATTAGATAAACATTTTGAAAAGTAAGATGCATAATTGCCTCTAGCACCTATTCTTTGAAATAGATTGTTACCTAATTCGCTTCCTTGATTACATAAAGACTTGTCAAGTCTTTTGATTGAAAAGACAACTAAGATTGTTCTACATAAAATTTCATTTTCTTTTTCTCAAGTACTTTTATTCATCGTACGATGATTTCTGGAGCACAAAAAAAGAAAACTGTCAATGATTGATAAAAAACTAAATGTTTGTGTATTTATCTGATGTTAAAATCGATTGCATTGTTTTTTCAACATAATGGAAAATAAATATTGTCTTGCCAAGAGCAGACGTTTGAACAAAACAAAATAAATCAATTCGACAAGAGCACTCGAACATATTTTCGACTTAGACGGTTTTTAAATCTACCTTATTTTCAACATTCTTTCAAGGTTATGCCGGCTCAATTTGTAGAAAGCCTTGAAAATGCTAGCTAACCTTTTAGGACATCACAAATCTGGATTTTTTTTCAAACATATTTTGTTCTTCTCATTTATGTTAACTAAAAGAAACCATTGCGGCTAATAGGAAAATATATTTTGTTATTGAGAACACAAAAATGTAAGTGTTCTTGCTGATTAAACTGGTATAATACAAAAACGCACTTCTCTCTCTTCGATTTCATGATGTTTGTTTTCTAGTTATGATGAAAAAGAAATTCGTAATAACATACCGAGTATAGCTTCGTTCAGGTGATTCGAATCGATCGGCACCTCTTAATGGTGATAATTGGCGTGGTGATGTTCGTCCAGTGACATCTCCGTCGTATTGATGTTCTTCATCATTGATGACCGCTTGAGCAATGTCTCGTAGACGTTGATGAAGACGCTCGGTATCAGCATTGATCTCCCGAGTACGTATGTCCAAATTAGAAGAAGAGCTTTCCTGGAACAAAAAACCATTATTGACATTGTCCTTCACGCGACTATTTGAGCGAACCTCATTACTATTAAAGGACGTTCTCAAAAGAAGAAAGTGAAAAGTAACTGATGATCTTGTGCAAGTGACTGCTCCAATGATCTCTTTTCTAGCAATTGACTAACGATTTCCGTCATATGCATAGTTACGGATGATGAATCGCATCTGATTTAATTATTCTGATTGAGTTTCTATAAATGATTTTCGTACCTGTGTTCGTCGATACATTCAGACGATGGTCAGACAAGAACCGCAAACCGAAGAAAACGATGTTGATGAATGAATGAAAACGAAATGCGAGAAAAAGAAAAGCGAAGAGAGGAGAAGAGAGAAGCGGAGAAGAATTCAAGCTGAAGGCGGTAAGTACTTATGCTTACCACACGGCGACGAGAAAGAGACTTTTTTCTTGCGCTGTCTCTCTCTCTCTCTCTCTCTTTGCTTCTCTTTTATAAAATATTTTCAAACAAAAAAAAAAGAAGAAAGAATGCTAAACAGCAACAGCCGTTGCATCTTATTTCATTTCTGAATTCTTTTCATGCTTCGAGCTATAATTCTCGAGGGCTTCAGCGAAATCAAACAAGCAAGAGTTGTCAAGTCAGAAATTTGAGCAAATTTCGTAAACAACTTCTTGTGCACATATTTACTTTTATTTGTTAGAAAAGCTACGCAAGTGGTAGACTATTGTCTCGCTCTCAAATTTGCTTTTCATTTTATCTCGACAAATCGATTACGAGCAACTGACAGATCGAATGACGATTTCTGTTGTTTTCGTCAGTCGAAATGCTTAATTAATGAGGAAAATATTTTCTCCGACTCTTAGAAGATCGGCCAGCACATAAGTGAAACGAGAGAAAAGTATGAAAGCTTTCTAAATGGAAAATATGCCTTCGAGCTCACCTGCGCAACCGCAGCAGCTTGTGCCATTTTGGTGAGAGTATACCGCAAACAACAGGTAAGCAGCAACGACTGCAAATGCTAGTAGCGGTTGTTGTTTAATCTTTCTATCCAACTATCGGTACGAATACCACGACAATTGCAGTAAAGTAAACAATTGCGGCCTCCACTATGTAATTTATTAACGGGCTTCTTTTATCAAAATACGTCTTTTTTCTCAACCAAAATTTCTTTCCTCTCGCCGATTTTTTTTCTTCTCATTTAGAATTTTTTTGATGACAGAATAGAATTGTGTCAATAAACATCAGAAGTAGAAACAAAGGAAAACGAAAGTAAGCGATTGCGAACACAAGTGATTGTACTTTCCAGCCAAGCACTTCGTTTGAAAAAACATGAGAAATACGAAATAGATCGAGCGAGAGAGAGAGACTTGAAAAAGCAAACTTTCTCATACAACAAAATGACATTAGTATGTTTAATACTTTCAAATGTTTTTCTTTCGAATGATACATATACATGCATGACGAGAAACGAATAAGTAGAAAGACAAGCCGATCAGTTCGATGAATTGATTATAAAATCAAAACGAAAAGTTTGTTTTTTCAACTGTCTATCTGTCGGACGCAATGAAACTCTAGATATTAAATTTCCTCTTCAAGTATCGAAGGACGACAAGTTCATACAATAACAAGAGTATCTATTAGTAAATGTCTTGTTCAAAAAAAAAAGAATCCAACTAACGCGAACGTTTTGAAGGTTGAATTATCTGAAGAAGACGAGAAACTCACCATGGTTTGATTAGTACGTGTCAGATTGGTAATCGTACTGTCTTTGTCGGTCAATTGATTGCGTAGTTTATCATTGAGTGAAGTCAATTCTTGCAGTCTAGAACAGCAGAAGAAATGAATGGTTTGACGAAGAAGATATTCGACATACTTTTGTTGTAAATCAGTAATTTCACGTGTTTTCTCTCGGATTTGACTTTCTAAATTAGTACGATCATTGCGCTCACGTTCGGCTGCAGCCTAAAAGGAAATGTCGTAGATTAGAAAACAACTTCGGAAGCATTTTTCAATATACTTGTCCTTGAGATTCTGCGGTTTTAGCGGATGTTAGAAAGCTAAAACAAGCACTTGTTAATGATCGACCTGTTTGAGCAAGATCATTTCGAACGCGTGTTAAATCACGTTCAGTGGTGCCTTTCAATTCGGTGAATTGTTGACGAAATGAAACGATTTCTCGCCATAGTTCATACATCATGTTGTGTTCTTTATCATAGTATTTATTGAATGCCTAATACATATCAGAAAGGAGATGGTTTCGATTGAGAATAAGTCGGTACAAACCCGTGTTTCTTCTTTGAAATCATGTTTTTTCTTTGCTAATTCTTCACGAACTTGTTGAAGTTCTTTGGTAAGATGACGAACGTCGTCGCTCAATTGTCGATTAGCTAAATGAGCTTGATCGAGTTGTTCACGGAGAAGAATGTTCAATTGGCCTAGATTTGCTGATCTAAACGAGACTTCTTTACCTCATACTCATGAACATGACACTCATACTTTTGTTTTTCTTCTTCAAGAATGATAGTACTGGCATCTTGTTCTTCACTATTTTCCGGAATACGAGATTTGTAGGTCAAGCTTGATGGCGTTGGATTACTCGTCGACTAGACCGACTGTTAAAGGATGTTTAATAGTGAAAAAGTCGACTTACTGAAACTCGAATACGATCCATGTCGGCTCGTTGTTGATCAGTTAATGATTCCAATTCAGCACATCGTTTTTTATATTGTAAAACCTTTAAGTACACAAGAAAACATTCGTTGACTTCGCTTCTTTTTAAAGGAAAGCCCGAACTTTTTCTTGTAGTTTTTGTACGAGTTGTGCTTGTTTTTGTTGGCCTTCTTGGTAATTAGACAATTTACGTTTGTACGATTGATGTTCTTCTTCTAATCTTCGTCTTAAATCGATATTTTGTTGAACAAGAACGCGTCGCTCCGGTTCACCATCGCCAGCCTCCGATGCGACATCAATACCATGAGCACGTAAAGATTGCTCGAGCTAAAGAATGGAAACGGAAATATTTGCTGATTGCATATATTCGCTGACAAAAGTAAAAGCAAACTCTGTTATTTCCCTATGTTTATTAATCATTAGGATTGAAAAATATCATCAAGAATTCTAAATATGTTTTTATAAAGTCTTCAATGACAAACCAAGACATAACAAGGTAGTTGATTGAAAAAAAAATGCTTACTCGATCCGATAAGGCGTTGTACCGTATGCTTAATTCATCTTTCTCTGCGCGAGTTAGATTCAAGACTGTTTCCACCCGATTGAGTTCATCGTTGAGAAAACGATTTTCATCAAGAAGCTGAACTGCACTTGATGTGCCCATGAGATTCCGAACAGATGATTGACTTGAAACTGTATGCTGAGATCGAGATCGTGTTATTGGTGGCGTACGAATACGATTTACGAATATGTCTTGCGTTCGACCACGGATCGTCGTACTACGATTTTCATCTTCATCCGAAAGTACTTCTTCTAGATGCTAGAAATACGAAATGTGTACAGGTTTCAGATCAACGATCACACCGATGTACAATGCGAGAAAGAAGTTAATACATACAAACGAATTTTCAAGAGGATTGTCATCTCCCATAATGCCGATGATGAGCGAGATTTGCTGATCTTTCACCTGGCAACTAGCTGAACTCGTGTGTTTATAAAATCGAAGCAATTGCTCGAACGTTCTGCTCTTGGTGATGTGACACCACAGGAGTAACGAAAATGTCTTAACTGCTGACGATAATTACACAGCTATCGAAATAGACGAGAATGAAAAAAGTCGAAGAGAAAAAAACAACTAAGAAAAGAGAAACTTTTTGATTTTTTGTTTGTTTATTGCCAACGACGAAACGGCATATTTTTTTTTGGTCATTTTCTCAAGAATTTTAACGTGTTTCGAATGTATAAGATGAATCTGACCAAATGTTCGGTTGATTGAAATGCATGTAAAATAAAAAACAAACGCTCGCGTTTTCTTCGTCTTCTTCTCAGTTGAAACATTTTCGGTTGTGTGAAGTTCCATTGCGGTTTTGTGGTTATTCAAAAGGAAAGGAAACCACTAAACAATTATGAAGAAGGAAAAAAGTGAACATCAATATTTAATCATTTCGTGCAATCAATTGAGTGCTTGTCCGGCAGTTTCATCATGTCATTCATGTCAATCGTATGATTGTCCAAGGCAATGTTTTATTATTCATAGCAATTCATATTGAATATATGATCGATTAAGACTAACCAAAAGAATCCGTAGGAATCGCTCTAACACATTCTTAAATAGTCAATCGTATGCTTTCAAATATATTGGTCTATGTCTTGTTCTTGAAACGAAGTGCTTCTGTTTGAAAGTTTGAACACAAAGGAGAGAACGAAAACGCAATGGCATGGAAGAAATCTAATCTCATCAAAGTCAGTGTCACTTCAATGATAAAATAAAGAAAAAACTCTGAACTTTTGTTGTACAACGACGTCATACAGTCAAAAATGCGTTGATTATTTATTCGAGTCTGATTCTTTACTTCTGTTGTTTCAAGGTTTTAGAATCTCAGGCAGCGAACGTTCTTCTCCTATCAATTCAATGTTGCTTGAGAAAAGAGAGCGCAAGACAAACAAGACATAGTTTAATTGAGTATTCTCGTTCGCTACGAATTTTTTATTTGTCTTCGAATGTACATTAGAAGAGATGTGTTTTGCTCTGCGGTTGTTTATTTCAATATTTCGAAGTTAAAATGCTTGTGTTGTTTGACTTCAAGGCATGAAAAAATCAGTTTAGATTTGGTTACAAATCGTACCGTATCAACAAAGTTTCCATTACTTAAAATGAAAATCTAATCTAGAGAATAGAAAAAAAAGGAGAACGCGAATGACGAAATTAAGACATTATATTTATGTAAAAAAAATATCTCTTTTTTCCTAAGGTTTCCTTTTACAAGATTAAATAGACTTGTATGCTTCTTTTGCATCGAATATCAAGGACATGCACAAATTTGTTCTTTCATTCTACTTACACTCGAAAAGATGTGGATATAAAGATTTGATTACCAAATATGTAGAATATTAATTAAAATCTAAAACAATATTGAAAAGAAAAGCGAAGAAGACGAACGGTTAATATAATCAAATCATTCGTGGTGTTAATGAAACGAAAGAAACGTTGAGACTGAACAAGTATTTAACGTTTTTCTTTTCTCTTATAACACTCGACGAACGTCAACATTCAATAGGGGATTAATAGCAACCCGAAAAAAATCACCATGAACATTTTGTTCCAATCCAGTCGTTGCCAAGTGATTAACTTCTACTCAAGGTTAAAAGTCAATTGAATGATTGAGAAAAATCTGAAACATTACAGAATGACTCACGAATAAGATCAGCGTTTTCTTTCGCAAACTACACTGTGTGATTCTGTGATATAATCAGGATTCAGTAGATAATGTCTAGGTATCTTACACCGTCAAATTTCAGTTATTCGAAGATAGTTATTGTAATATGGCCGTAAAAATCTATCGGATCCAAGGGTGGGATTGATGAATTTACGACTAGTATTGAACTATCGAATAACTTTGTCCTATGTAGATATGAGCAAACATGGATTTTAATAGACCCGCTCATCATTTAACTTTGAGGCGATATATTCGAACAGAGTCCAACGATTTTTCGTGTAGACTAGCGCCATCTTTACTAAAAACTTGAATATTTTTTCATAACTGAGAATCGATTTTTTTCTAAAAGATACTAGAATATAGATTCTATTAGAATTCTATATTTTTCCATCGAAATCAAATACTTGAAATTCTTTCGAAAAAACAAACCATTCAGTGTATTTTCAGTTCTTCGTCAGTTCGGTTAACTAAACGTCGGAATTACCTAAGAACAATACATGTGTACATTTTCAAATTTTCTTCTAGATTTCGATTAATATCTTGCAGAAATCTTTAGAACATGGCATCACAATATAATTTTAAGAAAATAGTGACAATTCCAACTGCTCAGGATTTCATCGATATCATCCTCTCGAAGACTCAACGCAAAACACCAACGGTCGTTCATAAACAATACAAAATCGCTCGTATTCGTAATTTTTACTTACGAAAAATCAAATTTACTCAACAAAGTTTTCATGATAAACTTCAATTAATTCTTACAGAATTTCCGAAACTTGAAGTCAGTCTTCTATCTTCTACATATCAAAACTTACTGTTTTCAATTGCAGGAAGTTCATCCATTCTATGCTGATTTAATGAATGTTTTATATGATAAAAATCATTACAAACTCGCTCTTGGTCAATTGAGTATTGCAAAGAATCTAATTGATAAGTAAGAAAATGCCCGCGTGCATCATTTGTTCATTAGTGTTGCTCTAACTAGCGTGGCTAAAGATTATGGACGAATGATGAAATTTGCTGATTCACTCTATCGATGTAAATGCTTGAAACGAGCAGCACTAGGAAGGTTTGTATTTTTTACTTCATGTTGATATTTGAGTTTGATTACGATTGCAACTTTAGAATGGCAACTATCATTAAACGACAAACTCAAAGTTTACAATATCTGGAACAAGTCCGTCAACATTTGTCGCGTTTACCATCGATCGACCCAAATACACGAACGTTATTAGTATGCGGTTATCCTAATGTTGGTAAATCAAGTTTTCTTAATAAAATTACTCGTGCTGATGTCGAAGTTCAACCATACGCATTCACAACCAAATCACTCTATGTCGGCCACACGGATTATAAATATCTACGTTGGCAAGTTGTGGATACACCGGGTATTCTCGATCATTCGTTAGGTAAACTTGAATTTAACTTTAGTTGGTCGATTTTGTGTACATATGTTTCTTCTCCTTTCGTAGAGGATCGAAACACAATCGAAATGCAGGCAATTACAGCATTAGCGCATCTTCGTGCTGCGATTCTTTACGTTATGGATGTTTCTGAAACATGTGGTTATACATTGGAAGAACAAGTAAACAACTGACATTCGTACAGTGTTCATCATTATTTTATTTGATTTTAGCTCAATCTTTTTAACAATATCAAAGTATTGTTTACAAATAAACCGTTATTGATCGTTGTTAACAAAACTGATATCAAACGACTTGACGAATTGTCCGAAGAAAAAAAGGTACTTCTTCGAAAGACTTCGCTTTTTTTTCTGAACGCTGTTCGTTTCTAGGCGGTATTCGAACAATTTCGTAAAGATGATATTCGCATCCTGGAAATGAGCACTTTCTCCGAAGAAGGTGTTATCGAAGTTCGAAATGAAGTAAATTTCAATATGATCAATAACTTTTGCTAATCAGTTTCAACTTCTAGGCATGCGATCGTTTATTAGCACATCGTGTTGATATCAAATTAAAGAGCCGTAAAGTAAACGATGTTCTCAATCGTTTGCATGTCGTTCAACCACAAAAACGAGACGAACGTGTTCGTGCACCATTTATTCCGGAAGGTGTTATTCAACGTTTAGAATCAATGCAAGTGACACCAACGGAATCTACTAAGAAGAAGACCGAACGCGATTTAGAAGTTGAACTAGAAGAAGACTATCATTTGGATTTACGTAAAACATGGTCGTTGAAAAATGACAATGAACGTTATGATGTCCTACCGGAAATTCATGGCAATAAGAATATTGCTGATTTCATTGATCCGGATATCATGGCGAAATTGGAAGAATTAGAACGGGAGGAAGAGGCACGCGATCAAGCCGGTTTCTACGATATCGACGAAAGCGAAGACGACGAAGAGACAACAGCTATTCGAAAATTAGCGAAGAAGATTCGTTATAAACGACACGTTATCATCGGTGAAGCAAGATCCAAGAAACAGGCACGACGAACACCTTCCGTACCACGACCAAAACTACCGGTAGCAAGAGAACGTTTAGAAAGTACCATGAGCGAATTAGGCATTGATATGGATAACAAAGAAGATGTAAGGAGAAAAAAAAGACAAAGAATAACTCTCATGCACATTGGTTTGTCTCCTTTTTGTAGTCTCATTACGTGGCGAAGATGCACGAAACACGTAGTCGATCATTGAGTCGACCGGAAACAAAACGCAAACGTGAAGATTCAGAAGGTAACGTTAGAAGTAGCTCGAAACGACCTCGTGATCAATCTGGCGTCCGAGATGTGACTATGGCTAAACAGGCGAGAAAAATCAACAAGGTTAGTCAACGTAAAATCAATCTTGATGCTCGTACTGGTGAATCCGACAGAAGAATATTCGTTAAAAAACCAAAACACTTATGTAAGTCGTCTTCGTCTTTGTTTACACTTGTGTTAATCGTTCTATTCGACTTTAGTTTCCGGCAAACGATCAACTGGCAAGACAGATCGACGTTAGTCTTTGTTTTGTGTTGTTTATTGTTATGTTTCTCGGAATAAATAAAATCAAGGATAAACTATCGAACGTCCTTTTGTTTTTATAGCACGAAAGCGATGTTGTTTTCTTATACTGAATTCTTCTAGATCGAAATAAAGAAGAATATGGCTCAACAAAAGTCAATAACATTTTTCTTCAGAAAGAAACGCGAGCATTCGGATGTTGATGAAAATGAAGAGGTCAAAGAGGTAAACAAACCTACCTAACAAACTTATGAATCGAATAAGAATTGGAGATAATTCTTTCGTATTCAAGGTTGTTTCAACAACTCCCAAACGCGTCAAAACAGCATCGAATACACCGGTAGCATCGCCTCTGCGAATGTCTCAACCAAATTCCAATGTCAATTCACCAAATGTGCCAAAAAGTGACGAGGAAAAACGTTTAGCTGAACGGATTGAAAACAATCGTATTGGAGCTAAGATGAAACTTGAGGCGAAAGCTACACGTGGATTAGTTGTCGATATGGGCATATCGTGGTATAAGGCTTTTGAAAAAGAATTTTCGAAAGAATATTTTCAAAAAGTATGTGTATACACCTGCCGTGTATGGATCAATGCTAGTTTTGAATGTTTTTAACCAATTAGTTAGCCAGTTTTGTTGCGGATGAACGTGAAAAAGGCGTGACAGTCTATCCACCTCCTCATCATGTATTTACATTTACACGTATGTGTGAACTGAACGAAGTCAAAGTGGTTATTCTCGGACAGGATCCATATCATGGTCCAAATCAAGCACATGGTCTCTGTTTTTCAGTACGAAAGAATGTTCCACCACCACCAAGGTGAGTTGAAGTACAAATTCTTATTCTCGTATTTACATTTATATTCTAGTCTTTTAAATATGTACAAAGAACTGAAAGCTGATATACCCGATTTCGTCATTCCAAACCATGGCACACTATCAGGATGGGCTCGGCAAGGTGTTCTGTTGCTCAATGCCTGTTTAACTGTTGAGAAGGGTAAAGCTAATTCACATAAGGGAAAAGGATGGGAAAAATTTACAGTAAGACATTCCTCCGCGTATCATCTATCATCATTTGCTTAACTTCTTTCTAATATTAAGGATGCAATTGTGCAATATTTGAACGATCGTTCAGCAAATATCGTATTTCTACTCTGGGGAAGAGATGCTCAAAACAAAGGAGCTCGAATAAATAAAGTTTGTATTCCTTTTTTATTTAAAACATTGTTTAATTTCATTCATGATACATGTAGAGTCGACATCATGTTCTCACAGCTGCACATCCATCGCCACTTTCAGCTTATAATGGCTTCATGGGTTGCAAGGTATATTCGAATATGAATGTGAAGCCTTAATTTTCTGTTGATTTTTTTAAGCATTTTTCAAAAGCAAATGAGTATTTGAAGAGCGCTGGTCTTGCTGAAATCAACTGGTCAAATTTGCCATCAGAAGATGAAATGCCCTTTGATTAAATAAGCTACAAGGATGTGCTATTTCATGTCAACAATGAGAATTTGAATTTATTATTTTTGTATATTTTTGTCTCTTTTGGGGTCGTTTTTGTTTATTCTTCATGCGTGAGTAATTATACTTGTCTAGTCTTTCTTCTTTATGAAACTTATGTCAGATCTTTTGATTTTTTTTTCTTTTTACACGTAAACTTATGTCAGATTTCTCGGGTAAATTTTCAATAAAAAAAAACTAAGAATTTCTTTGTGATCACTAAACTCTAAAACTTATTCGTGAAAATCAATTTTGCAGATGTTGAACTATATTGTCCGATATCGGAATTTGTCATGTCCGGAGTAATAAGCAAGTGACATCTCTCCTGACGACACGAACCATTCTCAAACCAGTGATAATGCTTGTAAATTTTTGTACAGCGAAATTTCAACCCATATTCGAATGTTCTCAAATGCAACTCGATGGTTATCATGCCGAAAATCTTGCCAAAGATTTCTCGCAAAAGTATCGTGTTTGTTTGAGTTTCATTTCAATCATTTTTCTTGTTAATAGCCACGGTTTTCTTGCTGATTCACTGCAACGTCCACCGATTGATATTTACATTCGATTTCCTCTGAATATCGATATCAAACATATTTATTTGGGCCCATCGATCGGTCACCATCGGTCGACATTGATCGAGTTTTGCGTTAATCATCAGATGATCGATGAGAAAACATCTTGGCTCGTCGATTCGTCCACTAAATCGAATCGCGTCAATTTGAAACAATTATCATTTCATCGAATAGCACAGATTTTGAATGAAAATGAAAATACTCAACGAATCGAAATCTACGATCATGAAACTGAACAATCCAATTCTAATGTATTCACATATCGGTTTTCTGCCAATACTCATCTGATCAATTGTAGCACAATTAAACTGACAATTAAACGTGCCTGGCGTGTGTCTTCATGCGCTTTGAAATATCTACAAATTTGGGGATCGTTGTCGAATTCCATTCCCACACAATTCAAAACAAAACTCGAACAAATTCTCTTCCCTACACCAGCTAAACCTTTAGAAATCAATGAAACAACATGCACAAAAACCTCCGAAGAAATTCCATCGGACTTCTTGGATGCGCTCACATCTGACCTGATGTTGATTCCAATGCTGCTGCCCAGTGGTCATATAATTGACCAGACAACATTAGAGAAATGCATAGCTGAAGATACACGTTGGTGTCGTTTGCCACGTGATCCATTCACATTAAAATCGTTCACTGAAGTCACTCAGCCAGTTGTAGCTCAACAATTAAAAATGCGCATTGATCAGTTCCTAAGTGAACATCAGAATGATCCAAAATATCGTCAATATGGTAGAGTACTTGATCCAAGACCAACGACATCTGATAGAAATATATTTTCATCGAAACGAAAACCGGACGATGCTCTGAATGATAATCAAGCGAAAAAAAAGCGAGACAAAGATTAGTTAAATCTGTTTTTCAGATATGTTCAAATTCAATTTCAATATCGAAGAAGATCCAGACAATCAGAACACGAAACTTGATGAAGACGAGCAATTCAGCGCGTTGAATCAAGACTTTGGATATATTCGCATTGATGATTTGCCAAGTATGATTAGATCAGAAAAAATTCTTTTAATACTCATCGTTTTCTCAGATTTTTTTGTGATACCATACAAAACTCTTTCAAAGAATAAAATTATTCGATATTGAATTGTACAGAAAACATATTTAGATGAATCTGATGAAGATACCGAGAAAATGCGACAAAGATTTGAATCATATCGATCGGATCTCGTTCCCAATGTATACGAAGGTACAGTGTTAGCCTTGTTACATCGTATGGCGAGCGTTTGCTTCGTTTTCTAGGCGGTTTTAAAACATGGGAATGTTCTTATGACCTAGTCGATTATCTACAATCGATTAATGATAACCTTCGAGATAGAAAAACAGTGATTGAAGTAATGAGAACAAAATTAGACGCGATTTATTGATGTCTGTGGATTTAGTTAGGATGTGGCAGTGGTCTACCAGGAACAGCATTGAATAAATCAGGAGAATTTCAAGTGGATTTTCAAGATTTTGTAAGTTGATTCGACTGAAGTGGGAAATGGAACATGTTTTTCGTCGGAATTTTCTTTTAGAATCGCGAAGTTATTGAACAAACAGGCAAACAATTGAAAAAAGATAAGCGATCATATAATAATCGTATGTTTTTCGGTGATTGGGGTGATTTAGTGAACATCATTCCAGCCCATTAGTGCGTCATCATTTGACAAGAAACTTTTCTGATTGATGTACATCTTTTTCTTCAGCTATGATGTTATACTCACTTCGGAGACGATCTACAACACTGGTAATTACACCAAATTAGTGAAACTATTTAATCATGCTCTTAAATCCAACGGTGTCATGTGAGTTGTGGCAAAGTGCTCATTTTCCACGATTGAGATTCATTATCGATAGATATCTGGCCGCTAAAGTGTATTATTTCGGAGTTCAAGGTGGTGTTCGACAATTTGAAGAATTTATCGCCAAAACTGGCTTATTCAAAACTCGAGTAGTTCGAGTTATTGATGCAAGTAAGACAAAAATTTGATATTTACTTTCAGATATATCAAAACTTTCATTTTTTTGCAGATGTAAAACGTGAAATTCTCGAAATGACTCGTTCCGAACATTGATTTTCTAACTAATCAAGAGATAATCTTCGACTCATTCTTTGTTTTGTTACAATTGTCTAACGAAGTACTAAGATAAATCCGTTTATTCATAGAATTTCACATTGCGATATCCTAATCGTATTGACGGGCCTAGAATATGGTGTGATTCATACGTTATCGTAAAGGTAATCGATAACAAATCACCGTTCATGACTTGTCAAAGGCATTTTGTTATCTGATCATGTCGAAAGATGAATATAATACCGTGGTAATAGCGTCGCACGATTTAATCATTCGATTATATTGTCGTTGACACATTTTGATTTTCGTACTAAACAGATGGGATTGCGTCTTTAGAAAATATCTGTCCATTGTTCGAATCATATTTGTTTATCGATACCTTTTTCTTTATATAATAATGAAATAGAAAAAGAAGAAACAATTTCAACTAATTCAAATGAATTATTCACGTCAAGAACATAAATCAGAAGGTAACAAGGAGACGAAGGAAATTTGCAATTTTTATTTATCGGCAACTCTTGGCGTCATCGCTATACGTGCTCGGATCATATCAATATGTGTACGGAGATCTTTTATATCGGCATGTATCGAATCGGAACGTCCTTTCGGAGCAGTGACGGCTAATTGTCGCATTCTGTTCATTTCTAATTTCATTGCTTGCATTTCATCAATTAGCATTTTCAAATATTGCTTTGTATCATCTTCATTATCACTTGAATTGTAATTTGGATTTGCCGACGAGGTATATTTCGATCGTGACCGTGATGGTTGAGATGAACTATCGTATGCAGCCGGTTCACCACGTGTAATAACGTATGCGTTACCATTCGTGCGTTCACGTCGATGGTGTTGATGATGGTGACGACTTGATAGACCGCCTGATGAATGTTGAGCGCTGACTGAACGGTTCTGTTGATGATCATGAAGACGACGAGGAGAATTCGAACGTGAACGTGATGGTGTACGACTACTAGTGTTCCCCTTTGGAGTGTCTTGCGACTCTATATACGCCAAGGCAGCGCCGTTACTTCCTGTCTGTCCCACAGTTGCAGGTGGTAATGCCGTTCGCAATGTTTCACCTGTCGGCAATGGAATCGTCTTTGGCACGTAGCTAATATTGAAAATGAGAGAAATATTATCCCGATAAACGACATTTTTGTTAGAAAAAAACTTTGAATTTCTTACCGATTGTAAATGCCTATGGGTATCAAAGGCATCTGTTGTTGTTGTTGAGACGCTTGCCAAGCAGCCAATTGCTGTTGTTGTAAAAGCAATTGTTGCTGTTGTTGTTGTTGTAATTGTTCTGGAGTTAGATCTATACTATTATTTGCAACGGGCGTTTTCGATTTGACCGCTTTCTCTGGTGATCGTGATCGATATTTTCGTTGTTTAACTCCACTATCATTTGAGCGTTTCGATGGTGATTGTCCACTTTTCTGCTTTTTTGGACTTCGATGTCGTCGGTGAGTATGTTCTTCTCGATCACTATGATAGCTACCTTTATATGGCGAATGGGTTATCGATAGTAATGTTGGCGTCATATTAGGCTTTCTGTTTGCTTCGTTTTCGCGATTATATAAAATACGGCGGGGTGATGGTTGACGAATATTCGTATTATTACGATAAGGTTCATACAACAATGGCGATTTACTCGGCATTGGTGTATACGGTTGACGGTTTTCGAGTGGATACAGACTATCAAAAGGGCTTGAATAGGGTTGCTGTTGTGGTGGTGCTTGTTGAGAATTATTAGCTTGTTTAACAATACGAAAATCGTCACGTAACAATTGAGCATCGGAAGGATGTACCACATACAATAATACACCTTTCATGCTCGATTGAAGCTCATCATAAACGATACAGATAACGTTATTTATACTAGGTAACATATAAATATCATGTACAAGTCCAATAGGGATGAAAACGGGTATACGTGTTCGAGCAATTTGAGGATCTTGAGCACTGATTTGTATGCCCACTCGATTAATACGAATCCAGACGGCGGTAGCTAGAAAAGACAGAATAGGTTGGGTCTGAATGCGCAAATCTTACATACAGTAAGGTTGGCCGGCTGCTGCATGATTAATAATACTCCGAATCGTATCAGGAGTATAAGAACTGACTAACGTCGAGTTGAGTGGATAACCTGTATAACGTCGAGATGTAACACCATCATTCACACTATTATAAGTTATCAATTGACTCATAACTATTTGTTGTCGCTGTTTTTCAAGTCAAATAATCGATAGTTATGATTAATATAATCTAAAATATGCTTACAATTAACGTCGTGTTATTGCTAGGAAAAAATAAGTCAACACGATGACCGATATCTAACTAGTTGATCTGCCCACCTTAATCGTTGCCGGGCTCGATAAGTATAAACGCATATGTATTCGACACGTACACGAACAAAAATATACTTCTTTGCATTTCAATGGTTACGCTTCACCTGTCTACGTCCTTTTTTCTCTCTCTCTCTCTCGTTTTACTGGTAATAAGCATATACACAAAGAAGAGTCACTAAACAGCACATATAATACCCAGTTTTGCAATATCTTTTGATCAAATGATTGATTCTTGCTTACATTGAATCTGTCGCCAATTCGCATTGTAGATTTGTGCATTGTATAAGTCATATATTTCATTTCTTTTGACAATTTTTGTAACAAAGAAACATTAGAGGACAGAAAATGAATGAAAGAAATGGTGAGGTAGCGAAAGAGAAGAAGAGGAGAGGTGAAAAATGTACATAGACTAAATTATTTGTTTTTATTTTGCTATGTTATTTTATCATCTAATTTATACACTACGTCGTTTTTTTCTCGACGGAAAAGAGAAACTAATTACAATTATGTTCCTGTCACATATCGAATACTACGATGTTGTTTCCAACGATTTTGTATTAGACTTGAATATTTCATAAAGACAATCGTCGTTGGCATGCTACGTAAAAAAAAGTAAAGGTGCGAAAAGAAAATACGACTAGTCATTTTACCTAAATACAATAATACCAGTTAAAGCACAAAAACTGGCAGCGAATCGAGCTTCGAACTAGTGTCAAAGGTGCTGAATGAACGAACAAATAATATATTTTGTGTAGCTCACGGATCGTGGATATACATCCCCATAGCCTAATGTCGTTAGTGTAATGAAAGCCAACCAAAATCCATCTGAAATAGAATGAACATCTCGAGTCGATTGATGTTTAAGAACTTGTGCATTGAGTGAAACTTTCTTTTCATTCCTATTAATCAATGAAACAAGAGAATAGGATACAATCTACTCATTTATCGCCTCGCGTAGGTTAATAGGAATGTTTATTTTCATTTTCAATTATGATTGTACACGTTATGTGATCAATTACCGTTTAATTATTGTACTTCATATTGTTTTCAATGACGATTGACATAATAAATACAAAAAAATATCGAACTGCCTTGAGTTATATTATCTTCATAACAGGTTTTGCAGAGAAAATAAATAAATACGCGTATGATTACGCTGACATCCATAGTGACAGCGGATTGTTAACGGTATAATTGATGGAAAAAAGAAATGGGTTACATAGTTCGTAACGCCTAGTATTATGAAAATGTGTTCTAATTTCTGACGAACTACGAAAGATTCGCACAGGTTCTTTTCGGCTTAAACGATTAACCCAAATGCGTTGTTCTACGGATGGAAGATCATACTTACCGAGAATGTTTCTAGTATTCGATTCCGGATTGGAATTATCAATGATATAAATCATCGTTCCGAATAATAACATACAGAATGTCACTAAAAATGCAAATCTACCTGATAATTCTCATCGAATTCTATCTTTACCAGATATAATCAACGAAGAGAGTTCATTTAAACTCATAGCAATGGCTTTGTATAGTAAACGTAGATGCGACATATGTCGAGTTAATCGGTAGATGCGAAATGATTTCAAAATTAGTAACCAATAGTAAAACGAAAGGAAATTGTTGATATAGCCAATGTTATGTAAATGATAACTAATCAAACATACTGCACTCGACAAGATTATTATCTAAATCGACATCGACGGCAACGTGTCTGACTACTTGAGAGGTATAATTACATACGAGATCAAGAAAGTTTGAAACATCGTAGAGAATGATTGAAAATATCGGTGCAGAAATGATTCGTAAGGTGAGTTCAACGGTAAATGCGAAAATACAAAGAATCTCGGTGATATAAGATGGACGCATGTACAACGGAAAATGTATCTGATTGACGCCAAGTATTTCTTGGAATTGGGTCAGCTCAGTGACAGTTGGAATGATCCTAGAATGTCTTTCATGTATTCATATTTTGAAATCCACTTGAAAATATACTCGCTGAGAAAAGGTACACAGGATAGAATAGTCAATGATATCGAGAGACCAGTGATCAAATCACCGTAGGGAAAAGTAATACTTTTTGGGTAAGTAAGCGTTTTCCAAATTAAACAACGCCATGTTTCAGTTGGCAACAAACGAATATCGTCTAAAGGTGTCTGCGAATCTTTTTCTTAGAGAAAATATTCTTTATGATGAGAAGATTTACCATGTCTTCTTCGGTGAATACTTCACTGAGACGTTCATCGATTTGCCAAAACCGAAGTTCTTCATAGAAAAGTTCCGGTTCGATATGTGGTGGTCTTCAATTTCAATAGCAGTTTAATTCAATCGAACTCAATCATGTCTATCTACCGTATGAGCATGCCGGGATTCAAATAGTAATAGAGTATTGATTCAAATATAGATGGGTGACGATCGAATCGATAGACATTCGAAGCTTCATCGTAGAATAAACGTCGTTTCAGTTCATCACCCAATAATGTATTTGGAAAGTTTTTCAACTAGCAAAACTGTCTTTTCAGTATGAATCAGAAACGTTTGTCAGATGAGTTACTTGCTGATTTTGTATGACGAACTGTTTACCTGAAATAAGTATCGTAATTCGATCATGTTGTTCATTCTGAAGAATCGAATGTAGATCGATTAATTGTTGAAACTGTCGTGTCTGCATTTGTGATTTGCAAAAGTTTTCTCGTTGCCAAGATAGAATGGCAAGTGAATTTGTAAAGAAGAAAAAAAAAGATTATTTATTGTCATGATGAAATATAAAAGATTACAAATAAAATAGAGATCTTACTAATGCGTTAATTTTCATTATCGACTATGAATATAGAATTTTGTTCGCCATGGAGATTATCTCTCATGGAACCCGATATAGTTGGAATAGGTCGTTGTTCATTTTGATGAACATGATTATTTTGTTCAACGACTGGTGCTGCTGCAGTGGTCGCCAGTGAAGTATATAAAACTGGCGCAAGAGTTTCGATTGGTATCGACTGTTGTCGACTGCTTGACTCAGGAATTGTAATACCATAGGCAACAAGAATATCCAGATTGCATAACGGACAATGACGATGATTGATCAACCATGGATCAACACAAGTTTGATGGAATGTATGATTACATTCTAGAGATGGAAAATTGAGTATGCGATCAACTAAGTTCTGTACACTTACTTAATAATCGTACAGTGTCACCAGCTTTAACTGTATCCAAACAGATCACACATGATTCTTCAATAGGAGGATTTTCTGTGATTGTGATCAATGGAATTTTTGTTAAGGCTTTTTTCGCCGCATGCGTCAAACGATTGTTCAAATGATCTTTAGCTGTACGAGAACGATATCGTTGACAATAATAGAACACAAACCATGCGATAAATAAGCAAACCAGAACAGATATCGATATCGCAACAAAAATGATCGCGCCACGAGAATTGTACCACAAATTTCGTCCAGACACATCATCGTAATCGATTTGCATTGGGTCTAATGTGATATTCAGATAAGTCTGGTTATCATTTGCCAAATCAAACAACATCGAACCCATCATTTGCGAAACATACAAAGCTAAAATATCCGAATTGTTTTGTAGCATATCGAATGCATCTTGACCTGTACTTCGAGGGTCATAAATAATCACCGCTGAAAATAGTAAAGAAAGACGTAAACATACGCTCAGAATTAACATTTCTTCTTCATAAAGTACCTGATGCACCGAACTGCTTAGCCCGTGTAATTTTCACACTAAATGTACAATCACCGCCACGTTGTATAATTGCAATACCATTGGAATATGTTACATTGTTAATCGGTTGCTGACACGCATCATAGTTCTTTCTCGAGTCGATTAATACAAATGCGGGCCTATTGAATACTGGCGATTGACTGCCTCGAGTTGAAACAATACCATTGGTTTGACTTTCTTCTGTTCTATTGGAATAGTTCGATGAGACCGAATAATATTCATATTTAATCGTCGCGGTTAATTGCCCATTGAGAAAATTCGGAAAGAATATAATACAGCATAGAATGGTGTTCATTGAATATAAATCAAATAATTGTTGAAAGATTCTTTTCATTTTTTACCGGGATGATGAAGAAATTCTTTCCTTCTCCTCTTCTTCTTCTTCTTTCTTCTAAAAGAAAAGATACTTTTCTTGTCTTATGTAACCTTGACCGTTTCTTTCTTTTTTTTCTCCTCCGATTTCGAACAAAAAAATTTATCGTCAGATGGAAATGGTTCATTTACATAAAGAATGAGGTAGTAACAGATGGATCTATGACAGCATGAGTTTACCCTGCGAGGACAATGCCGTTATTAATGGTAAATAATCATACAAACGAGATTTCTCCATAGGACTCTCGATTGACGATAACTTCGAAATTCGATAAGTATTTTTTAATGAGTGTCGAAGAAAAAAAAAGAGAAAAACGTCTTATGATTACTCTCAAGTGATTTTTACAATACTAAATCGTGCTGTTTTGAATCGAAGAAAAGAACTCGTAATACCAAGGTTGTCTGACATGTATCAGGCAATAAATGTAAGTAATACAATACTTATTGTCATCAACGCATGACGAGTAAAGGCTAGTAGGTTTCTTATTTTGTACTTGTATGACAGACGAGGTGAAAAGTGTTCATAATATCAAGCGATCGCAGGATGTGTGCACGTTGTTACGCGATGAAAAAAACCAGTTAACATACATTGAGTGAGGTTATTATTGTTTTCGTCTGTATTCGTTCGTATTAAAAGACACTTCACTGTACTAAGATTATTCATTATTTACATGTAGAAAAAAAAAAGAGAGAAATACGAACGATCGAGAAGAAAGAAAGGTAGGAAAGAAGACAACAGAATGTATGCAGACGCCTTTTTCCTTCCTTTTTTTTTACATAGTTATACGTACTCTTCGCCAAATGCCCTTTCATATGATGTGATTTTTTTGTTAAACGTCAACTTATGTGTCACATTCGTTTCGTATGCTTTTTTTTCTCTTTTCATCTTACCTTATAGGACAATAAGTACTACCAGTTGTCTCCAATCGATCATCTAATGTTATGGTCATCATTCGCGCAAATGAACGTTGTTCATGTGCATATGATAAGAGATAATTTCTCCATTAAAAAATTGTTTTTCTTCCTCTGATAACAAAATTATAGTTAATAGTAGAAAATTTCCTGATCGACGTCGAAATTAGGTAAAAACACGTGATGCGCACTACTTTGACTCATGTACACTTTGCGAGCAAAGGTTTTGCGCCATTCAGAGGTGATTTACCTTTGATACTTGCGCTATTTTGTTTTGAAAAATAAAAAATATCAATCGTCATCTACTTATTTGCTTTTCAGCTTTAATTTTGCTATTCACTATAAGATTGATCGTAAGACGATGTTTCATACACATTTGTGACCCAATAACTATAACGAGTTGTGCGTTCTTCGAACAGGCAAAAGGATCACATTTCAATGTATGGGAAGATGTTCGAATGAACTGTAGAGAAGATAAAAAAAGCAGCGATGATCATTATGAACAATTTAGTTCGTGCTAATGGTGCGTATTTGCTCACTGTCTATAGGACGCGTCAATGACATCTGATAAAGATTGTACGTGCCGTATGAGTGATGAACAAAAGAATTGTTGATTATTTGACAATGCATCAAATAAAACATCTCGATGTTGTCATACATATAAACGCTTATTGTCCTTTGTTTCTTCTTCGATTTTACTTCAAATATCTGTTGAGCAAGACACGAATCGTCAGACAATGAAATCAATTCGAATCAATCAAAGAATTTATTTTGAACAGAATAAGAATTATAAACGTGCACATCGTTTTTTATTCTCCTTATAATAAGATACGATATGTGCATACATATTATAAGAATAAAGAGAAAAGAAAAAGAGAAAAGAACGAAGGAAAAAAAACCAGAGTGTATGTAACAAATTCGTTTGTTCAATAGTAAGGAAGTAAAGTAGAGATATGTGTATGTACAAACACAAAAGAACGAACAAGTTAATTATCTGACACAAACAAACAAAAATAGTAATAAATACGTTAAACATAAGAGTAGGAAGATAAAAACGCGAGAATTGTAGAGATTAATATTTGAGTTTTTTTGCAAATTCAATAAAAAGAAACGAAGAGTTTGTCACCGATACAGATATTGTTTGATAGATAGTCACCGTTGATTGGATTTTGTTCAAACGTTTGCTGGATTTTCTAAATGAAAATAATTTCTCGATGGCGGGTAAATTGGTGCTGACGCATAACCCATTCGTTTGGGTTGTGGTTGAGATGGACTCATTGAATGATCCATATTATGACTGTAGGATGTAAAATGCGATGATTGGACGGTGAATGTAGATGGATAAGGTGAGCGAGTCGACGTTGGTAGAATCGATGGATACGATGTCGGTTGATGGTGTTTTAAGGATTGAGAACCATTCATATTCGTATGAATGAATTGACGAGGAATGGGTGGATGAGATGATTTTTGATTAGTCATTGAGAGAGAAGACTGAGCCAAGGTAGTCTTCGGTTGATAATCATGCGTACCATGAGATTCATGGTGTGTTGATGTAAAATGTTCAGATTTTGGTTTACTGATTGGCGGTGCTTGAGTAGACGTATCGAAACGGTATGGTTGATAACCTTGCGGTTGTTGTGGATTATCCTTCGATGACAATGAGTATGAAAATATTCCTGAAGGACGATCGTTCTTCTAAATATCAAATTGACAATGACGAAAAAGAACAAGAGAATTAAAATTGAAATGCACTTTTTTTGATGATCGACGTGCAGACGAAGACGAAGACGATGAAGCCGAATCTTTCCGGGAACTAAAAGCAGCAGGCGGTGGTGGTGGATGAAATGCCGGTCGACTGTCATGAGGAGCTAACTGATACTGGACAGGAATTGGTTTAAATGTTCTGTTGCTTGGAAAGAAAAAGAAATAACGAACAAATGATTCTCATCAATCCCTACTTGTCTTCTAATTGTTCTTTTCGTTTTGATCTAAAATACATATCAAATAGAAACATCCTTCAGTCAGAAGAGCACACTTACTTATTCGTAAATAAATTTGAAAAGCGAAATCGTTGTTTTTCGAGTTTATTCAATGTGTCTGTATTTGTTGAATCTAAATACATTATGCAATTGTCACCTTGAAAAATGTTGATGTTCTATTGAATTGCGGAAATGAACTTCTTCAAAATTTCCAACAAATTACTATCATTGGGAAATGAATTCTTACTCAATATTAGTGCCTACTGAAGTAATCATCTACATTAATGACTATTTCCTGTTAGACGAAGACGTGTCGATATCCGGAATGATACAAAACCTTGTACTCTTACCCTCATCATTGAGATTGGAATTGTGACCGTAGGATTTGTCTACAGCTTGTCGAAATGAGTCATTACATGCTCGACTACGAAGTTTTGCTTGACGTTTTCCTTCTCCGTCATGAATTGTTGTAGCGTTAGACGATTCACGTTCGTCTAAGATCTTCGGAATGCTTTCCAATGACGACGAGCGAATCAAACCAGGTGATGCACGATTTCTATTCGAAGTTGATTTTGGTAATGGTGGTATTGGTTGTTCTATTGAAACGAAAAACGAGAGAATTATGTTCATATCTCAACAGAGTCAAACGAAACACAAGGCA